CCTCTCCAGTGGGCCTCATCGCCCCGTGTTCCCATGCTCCCCCAGCCGTGCCTGGAAAGGGCTGGGCCTCGGGGCAGGGCTGCTAAGAGCATCCTCCCATGCCAAGCGTTAACTCCTGCCAGAGATGCGGCATTATCCTTGGAGTGAATGGTTGAGCCGATCCTGCTGGCTTGGGAACGTGTCGTTCGCAGAGACAGAAATACCCTGCGCTCCTCCGGCTTGGCCAGGAGTGCAACTCTGGAGCTGAGCGAGCTCTTACTGCCTTTATTGTGGAGAGGGTTTGTTTTTTTTTTTTCTTTTATATGGAAATAAAGTTTCGAGATTATTATACCCTCCCCATTAACAAGCATAGTTTTCCTGCTCTCTGTTTCCACCTGGCCCAGGTTCCCTGCTCTGGGCACAGGGCAGGAGGTCCAGGCCTGATTCCTTCTTCCAGTCACCTTTTCTGCAGCCTCCGAGGGAGCAGAGCAGATGTTCTCAGCTTGGTGGAGGCAGGCTGATCCCTGTGCACATAGCAGGTGCAGAAGGAGCTGGCACCTGTTAAACAGGAACTTGGAAATGATCTCATCAAGTTTGCAACAGATGAGTCTGTCCTAGTTAAAGCTGAATTCCCGGGGGTTTACACTGTGGTTTGGCAGTGGGAACCGGCCCCACATTTGAATCCGAGTTGCTGAGCAGCAAATTCCTTGTGCCACGTCCGCAAGGCAGTTGTTCTCCGCAGCGTCGTTCCTGGAGGACACGAGTGCCGTCTGTGCCTCTGCACTTCCCGGCATGCGGCTCTGGGTGAAACCAGGAAGGCATTTTCCAGGGCATTTGGGATTTTCCTGGCAAATGCAACCAAGACGGTTCCTCCTGGGAGGGTTTTGGGTTGGTAGAGCACAAATTTTTCCTTCAGCTGCTTGGGACAACACCGTGTGGCAAGAACCATCTCCCAGGGCTCAGCCTGTGAGGGGAAGGGCTGTGTGGGTGGATCTGCCATCGCAGGCTCTGGAGATGCCTGCTCTGGTGGGGATTAGATTAAACCTCTGGTTTGTGTTCCTCAGCATTGAATTATTTCCGTAACGCTCCATGGGGCGGCTGCCTTGGGCCATTTGATAGGTATGTGGGGTGGCTTGGGAGCGCTAACTGAAGGGAACATGCAGGGAAGAGCTGGGAATTTGGGTTGGCTTTTCTCTGCCAGCATTGGGCAGAACCTGGGCATCAGCTTTGAAATGCTGGGCACTGCGTTTGTGTTGCTGGGTCTGTCTGCAGTGCCAGCTGAACCTCTTCTCCAGCCCAGACTTGTTTGCCATCCACGCTGACTCAAGCGTATGTGGGTATGGGCTCAGCCCAGTGCTGGAGCATACGGCCAAGAGGTCGTGGCATGGAACTGTGTTCTCCTAGCCTGGACGGACGAGGTGCAGGTGAGGCCGGCTGTAAAGCCCCGTTCCCCACTGACGTGCAGAGCGTAGTCTTCTGATAGACAGCATGGACGTGTTGAGTCATCTCGCCAGGCCAGGCTGGGATCATCGGGGCAGCTTTGTGAATGAGGGGTGGGATTATCTGCTCTGTCTCCTGAGTGCAGTCAGATGACCATACTGTTAGAAATGGACTTAATATCCTTAATCGGTTTAATATGAACTTTGTTATCCCCACAGATAAATGTCACTCCTCTACCACAATAGCTGCTGGTCTGCCTGTTCCGTTCGACAGCCTGCTCATAGCAGGCTGGGCTGCAGCCACTGTCGGGCGCTCGCCACACCCCTCTGAGCGCTGGCGGGGCGCCAGCCACTGTCGGGCAGGGTCTCCCAGGCCTTTCCCCTGCTCCGTGCCGCCCGCTGCGGTGCCTTGTTTTGAGGGTAACAGCTCCCAGGTGTCCCAGGAGAACAGGGGTCTGTCGTACTTGCTTGTTCATGCTGTGGCTGGGCCGGGAAATGGAAGGTGGGAGCACGACCTGGTCCTGCCAGCAGCAAGAAGCAGGTGAGTTTGCTTTCTCGGAGAGGTAGGGGCTGTCGGTGAGGACAGAGGTTTTTATTTATGCAAAGCCAGGGCCAGCATCCCTGCGATGATTCGCTCTCCAAGGAAGAAGCCGGTGGCTGTTGTACCTCTGCTGCTCGAAGGACTCGAGGCAGGGACTGGGATCGAGCCCCCGGCAAGAGTCTCACCGGTTCTTGCTCGCAGCACACGTTGTTCGGCTCCTGCTTCTCTTGCTCTGGGCCCTCCCTGCTCCCCGGCCTCCTGCAGAAGGACCAAACAATGCAAACTCACTCTCCAGTCCCAGCCAGAACTCGCTGAGAAAGTTGTCGTAGTCTCAGGTTTCAGGCTGCTGTCAGTGCCGAGAGGTTTGGGGATGGGGAATGGCACTTCGCTCCATCTGCCCTCCGCTAATCCCCAGACAAACGCAGCTCTTCCATCTGTGCAGCCGGCGCCGCCAAGCCCATCACACCAGCCACTTAATCAAAATGGCTTTGGCCAAAGATAAGGTCATTAATTACACTGGGATTAGAAAACAGTACAGGCCTGGCGTAGCTTGGCTCGCCATCAGGTAACGTCCTCGGCGCCTTGGCCTGGCTGAGCAGCGCAGCTGGAGAGCTTGAGCTGGACGAGACCCATGCCCTTGCTGATGGGGCATCGTCCCCGTGGCACTGCCTGTCCTCAGAAGAGTCCCCTCACCTGGGCACTGGTGTTTTGGCACGGTGCTGGGGTGGGTTCCTGTCCCCGGCCACCGACAGGGCTGGTGATGCAGGTCCCAAGGGACACCCCTGGGAGGAGGGCAGGCACCACGGCCTCCAGCGCAGCCCGAATCCTTGTGTCCGGCAGCATGAGGTCGACAGGCCGCATCCCACCGT